GTTATTATTATGACATTATATAGCCCAGGAAAATGTGTGTGTGTGTGTGTGTGTGTGTGTGTGTGTGTGTGTGTGTGTGTGTGGGCGAAACCATAACACATCACAACACATCACACTCCCACAACACCCCACACGCCCACCCCACAACACCCCACACGCCCACCCCACAACACCCCACACGCCCACCCCACAACACATCACGCCAGCTCGACCTAAAGATGCTAATATGATTTGCAGTCACCGCCCCGCCGACCTCCAACCGGGTTTTGTTGTCCAGACTCACAATAACCCCCAGACACAATAGGTCGGCGTCGTTAAAAGATGGGCGCAGTCACGGCCGGCGGCATTTATACCTACAGCGGGGAGCCAAGCCGTGAAGAAGTAGCAGCAGAAGCGGGAAGAGCACCAGCAGTAGTAGTGGTGGTGGTGGTGGTGGGTAGCGGGGGAGGGGAAGGATGGGAAGGGGAGCAAGAAGGGGGATAGGAAGAAGGGAGAAGAGAGAGGATGGAGGGGAGGACAGGAGGGGAGGAAGGAGATAGCGGGTATGAAAAGGAAGGGAATGGAGGGGTAGGAGTGGAAGAGGAGGGGGAATAAAGAGGAAGGAAAGAAAGGTGGAAGAAGCAGGAAGGGGGGCGGGGGGAAGGAGGAAGTTGTAGTAGTCGTGGAAATGGTGGTGGTAGTAGTAGTAGTAGTAGTAGAATTCCCTACTCCCGTGAAAACAAATATGAAGGGCTATAACTCAAGGGTAACGTGTGTGTGTGTGTGTGTGTGTGTGTGTGTGTGTGTGTGCGTGTGTGTGTGTGTGTGAGTGCAGGTGTCGCTCCTCTCATAAAACCCAATAGGCTATAATTTCCCTACATTCCGTTCCTCAACAATCGCTTCCAAATCTGTTCCCTGACTGGGGGGAAATTTCTCCTCTCCTTCGCCATTACGTCCAAATATTATCGCCAAAAATTCCACGATAAAAGAAAACTGACGCATTTCTACTACGGTGACTATCTTTTTTTTTTCCCAGCTCCCGGGGCGGCGGCAATCACTCAAATGTATAATGGCACAGACCTTTCCCCTCTCCTGTAGCGTCATAGAAAACGATCTAGGCAATATTAAGTACGGTTTGTGTAGGAGAGAGTAAATAGAGTAGCTTTTTAAATACGGTTTGTGCATCGTCATAACTTGGCTGTGTCCTGGAGAGTATAATATGATGATCACCTGAAGATTAGACCCCCCAGCTTATTTCACCGTCACATTAACCACCCTAACGCTAACCTAACCTAACGCTAACTTAACCTAATCTAATCCCCAGGTAGGTTACTGGTGTCTAATCAGTAGGTGAAATAAGTTTACCGACTATTGTACAGGTAAAAAATCCTTTAAAGTGTGTATTGTCAGTTGGGTTAGGTTAGGTTAGGTTGGTTAGGTTAGGTTTGGTTAGGTTAGGCCGGCCTCTCGTCTACTCATACAGGAGGCAATATCACACTTGTTTTACTGCCTCTAACTGGGCCGCTGGATAGCTTCATGGGGGGGTGGGAGAGGCAGATGGTCCACACCTGCTTGTAAAGGGCCCTTGATCGTTAAGCCAATCAGGGACGACGAGGAGAAGAGGGGGGATTATCAGATGACCTCTATACAGGAAGCGATACTCTGATTGGATAGAGCCCTTCATGGAATAGCCAATCAGAGGCGGCGTTATCTCACGTTTGCTCATGAATACATATAATTAACAGGAGTTAAACTGAAAAGGCATTTTTGTGGTGGAAGACTTATTAAAGCTCTCCTATACAAGACTGAACACTCCTGGTAGTAAAAACACCCTTTAAGAGGTAAGACCAATTAGGCACGACGGGGTTCTCAGTTGGTTCCCTTATATAATGGAACACTCCTGATGATAAAGGGCACTGAACTGTTGAGCCAATTAGACATGACAAGGATATCAATAAGTCCTATGGATCATCTGAAGATCAAACACCCCCTCAGCTTATATCACCTGAAGATTAATCACCCTAATTCTAAACTGACGTAACCAAACCTAACCTAACCCTCTGAGGATAGGTTAGGTTGTGTTAGATTAGGGGGAGGCGAAAGGGAGGAGGGGTAGAGGGAGGGGGAGTGGAAAGGGGAAGAGGGAAGACGGGGAGGAGGGAAGAAGGGGAGGAGGGAGGGGTAGAGGAAGGAGGGAGGAGATGGAGGAAGAAGAGAAAAGGGGAAAGAGGGATAGGAGGGAGAGAGAAGTGGTCCCTCATCAAGACGCGTCACTCCACACACCATCACCAGGAGGAGGAAGAGGAGATGGAGGAGAGGAGGATGAGAAGAGGGAGGAGTAAGAGGAGGAAGAGGAGGAGGAAGAGAAGGAGGAGGAGGAAGACCCGCAAAAGCAAACTTCGAACTCAAATCCAACACATTGGTAGCAGTGGTAGTGGGATGAAGGCCTCTGGGTCGATCACAGACGAAGCACTGAAGCAAGAACTTGGTAACTTCAAAAGTTGCTTCCCGGAGAACTAAACTTGCCCCCCCCCCGCCCCCCGACTGCTGGAAACGTTCTCAGAGAAATGAAAAGTAAACTCCAACTGAATACCAAGTCTCCTTAGCCTGGGATAATGTGGGGCCTTCATTGTTAACTTGTAACTATTTTCTCTTCCTTTCAACCATCCAATCACCTCAAACCACCCAATCACCTGAAACCATACAATCACCTCAAACCATCCAATCACCTGAAACCATTGCCAATCACCTGAAACCATCCAATCACCTGAAAACTTTGCCAATCTTGTCAATTTTCTATCATTTTGTAAATTATTTTGTTTTATAACGGGAAATATAAAAAAATAGCGAAAAAACAAAAAAACAAAAAGCAAACATAAAACAAGTAAACGAGAAATTATAAAAAAAACGATTAGAAAACATAAAAAATTCAATAAAAACATCAAAATTCTACACACACAAAAAATACGTAAAAAAAAAAGTCAATCAAAAAAACAATAAAAATCAATAAAAAAAATAAAAAATTAAAAATCCACAACAAAAATTTAATTCAATAAAAAAAAAACATTAAAATCCCCCACCCCCCCAAAAAATTAAATTAATAAACAAAAAAAATAAACACACAAGGGAGAGAATGTTTAGTCATTAGTTGTGGTCACATCATCATTTACTGTCCAAGGATTATTTAAATACTGCCGCCGCTGCTAACTGCAATTTGGACCTGACAAACGAACACGGATCATCATTAAAACAGATCAAGCTATTTAACAACACAAAGAGATGACAGACAGATACAGACAGATGGACACATAGCCATAAACAGACAGACAGACAGAAATAGGCAGAAACAACGTAGAAATAGACGGTGAGAGAGTATGTCAAGCGATAGATATAATAGATAGATAGACAGTTAAAGAGATAGATAGTTAGATAGATAGAGAGATAGATGGATAGATTTAGACAGACAGACAGACTGACAGAGAGAGAGAGGAGAGAGAGAGAGAGAGAGAGAGAGAGAGAGAGAGAGAGAGAGAGAGAGAGAGAGAGAGAGAGAGAGAGAGAGAGAGAGCATTATAGGCAAATAGACAGACAGACAAACAGACACGTAACAGACACCTTGACAGTGGCCACAGGGAGGACAGGGCCAGGTCGGGTTATATCCCAGAGAGGGGGGGGGGGGAAGGGGAAGGAGGAAGGGGAGGAGGAGGGAAGGAAGGAGACGGGTCTTCAGTCAGCTCTCCTGCCAACGTTAGTCACCTACCCTGAAGATATGTCACACACACACACACACACACACACACACACACACACACACACACACACACACACACACACCTCCACACACACACACACACACACACACACACACACACACACACACCTCCACACACACACACTCCACACACACACACACACACACACACACACACACACACACACACACACTATAACTATCGTTGGTGAGATTATAAGAAATGGAGTATTTAAAATCTATCTATCTATAGTTCTATCTTCACTTCCAACAACACAGAAATCCTCACTACAAATTCTGACTTCCACCACCACCACTACTACCACCACCACCACCACCACCACCACTACCACCACTAACACACCACAACACTACCACCACCACTACCACTACCACCACCACCACCACCACAACTACCACCACTACCACCACCACCACCACCACTACTACCACCACTAACACCACCACTACTACCACCACTAACACCACCACTACCATCACCACTACCATCACCACTACCACCACCACTACTACCACCAACACCACTACCACCCCTAGCACCACCAATGATTTACACCACGTGTCCATCGCCTTAATAGCATCTAATAAATTTACTCAGCTTTTCGTTAAACCATTGAGATAATTCGTTCTGATAGATAGCCCAAACGATTCACCCAGTTACCGATTACTTTCACAATACGTTGATTTATAGCTAGGAAATATTAGTAGCAGAAGTCCACCCCCCCCCCTCTCACCACCACCTGCTGCTTGTTAGTCCATCCAATCGTTCATTTCACCAGAGTGTAATTAATGCAGAGATTATAATGTTTGAAGTGTTACGTACAAATACATAAACTTTTAAGCCTGTTGATTCGCCCTCACCACCACCACCCCTCCGGACACTCATAAACAGAAGCCGCGTGACTATGGTGTGTAAACATATGTGCGGGTGTATACATTATAGTGATGCAACAAATATCTTCACGCGACTCATTCAACTTCCCGGACATATAGCGTGAGTAACGGGTTGTGATGGCCTCCTCTTATGAACCACTGTGACTCATCGCTCGTAGGAATTTAGACAACAGACGAAACAGCAATCGATGGTGAGCATGGGGGAGGGAGGAAGGAAGGAAGGGAGGGAGGGAGTTTCTCTCTCTCTCTCTCTGGTTCGTCATGGAAGAGGGGGGGAAACAAAGCGGCCGTAGTGATGGCAACACGCTGGCTGGTTGGTTGGCTGGCTGCAGACAGTTCAGCCTCAGGTCCCCAGTTGCCCTCACCGTTCGCGTTAGTTTCCCCGCAGCCGTCAGAGAGTGTGGAGGTATATGCCACCCGCTCCTTCCCCTCACTGGCCCACATTACTCAAGCTTCTGTATCACCCTGGGAGCCTCCTTGGATAACCTAAGTGTTGTGTACTGTCACCTTAGTCGTCTGGGTTTACGATGGATATGAACTTGATAACTTTTAGTGGTGTTACTTGACAGTTTTATAACGCGTCAACGAGAAGCACAAAACTCTGTGAAGCAGCAAGTTGAGAGCTTCACACTCCCCGCAGTGGAATGATGAAACACACTAATAAGATCGAGTGGAAAAGTTACGTTATAGAGGTAAGGTTAATGACTGGTTGGGTGTCAATAATAATGATGGACTATAATTATAAAGAAAATAATCTGAAGTTTATTTTCAATAATCTGAGTAGACATAACCTAACCTAACCTCAGATAATTATATGTATGTTGTATATTATTAATCATCTGTATGCTAATGAGCCATCGGTGCCGAAGGTCTACGAATCCCCTCTCACCAGCCCAGACCATTGTCGAGATGAGACCGAACAAAACGACCTCGGGAGTCCAGTATCCTACTCATCGGGCCCCGAACACCTTACCTGGAGCACAATTTACAAGGCACATTTAATCTCATCGTGAGGACAATTCAATTATGTCTATGAGCTCTCCAGTCTATTGGATGCACACTACAGTTTGTTCTCGCTGGAAAAACATCCAAATGCTTTTATGATTTTTTTTACTGATATATATATATATATATATATATATATATATATATATATATATATATATATATATATATATATATATATATATATATATATATATATATATATATATATATATATATATATATATATATATATATATAACAGACATGCACATACTGTATACTGTACAGTACATAGACGATATATTATATGTGCCCACCTTCAAACACACACTCATACGGCACATACACGTACACAAAGGCAGGCTACATATAGTGTATGTGCTGACACATGCACACATCCCTGTACAATCACACCCATACGACACACACATACATGCACACACTGCTGTACAATCAGGCACACATACAACATACATGCACACACACTGCTGTACAATCAGGCACACATACAACATACATGCACACACACTGCTGTACAATCAGGCACACATACAACATACATGCACACACACTGCTGTACAATCAGACACACATACAACATACATGCACACACACTGCTGTACAATCAGGCACACATACAACATACATGCACACACACTGCTGTACAATCAGACACACACAGAGAACCTACACTGTCACACATCGTCAGTCAGCGATAACATCTCGTAATTGCTTTGTCTATGTTAACAGCATATGTTCTTGGCGGCGTCGACCACTTTGCTGAGACAAGTCATTTCCTCCATTTCCGTTGACAAGTTATATATTAGGAGGTAATATTCTGATTCCGATATTGTATCATCGCGAGTGTTTGCGAGACCCGAGGGCCCTTGTTGGGTGGGTTGATTGATTAAATTTGCTGGCGAGTGACGTAAGGGTGTTGGGTGGAGGGGGTGTTAGGCTCATGAGGCGAGGCAACCATTGATGTTTCTGGAGACGAACATTGTTATTACACCATCCTGATCACTCGTGATGTCTCTCCTTGAGCAAGATAATTATTGTTATTAGCAAGAGTAATATTATTATTATTATTATTATCACCCCCGCGTTGTGAGAGAGATGTCAAGAGGATGAGTTTGTTTACTGTGGAAGATTAGTCTTGGTGTTTAAGTTGTCTTTGTGTAGCTGGGTCACACACAGAGGGACGGGACCAAAGGCCAGTCCACCATCAGCCAGCCAGTCCGTCCCATACCGTTCATCAGCCATATCTCACACATCCAAGAATCGATTTCCTTCAAACTTGGCACAGAGATGAGCCGTCTTATCCTCCATTCCTCTATCGTTTTGGTTTTATGATCTGATCCAACGAGGCCGCGACTGATACCAACTTCTATCGCGGTCTGATCGGCGAGGCTATACAAACCCATAATAACCTGTTGCATTACGTGTTTCTACTTTGTGTATCTCCAGTAAATCATTTTGTAGTTATATGCAATGGTGGGTAAGCATATACAATTTAATCTGAGCAGGAACATAATTTTTTTCTCCCTCTCTCTCTATATATATATTTGTTGATGATGGGAGATAAACTCATAAATATTAAAAGTCCGAGAGAACTGTTGCTGTTATTTGATATTTTGTAACAAAACTTTTACCCAAATATCTAGAATAATGTATTGGCTCATATTTTGGCAAGGGCTAAGATTTATGTTCTGCATTTTATTTATTTATTTATTTATATATATATATATACAATAGATATAAATATGTATATATATATATATTTATTTTTATTTCATACACAGTACATATTTTCATAGAGATCGTTAGGTAAATATACAGTGTCTTTAGTCATTCCAATTGGCTATGCAGAGTGGGGAGAAAAATAGGTAAATGATTATATATATATATATATATATATATATATATATATATATATATATATATATATATATATATATATATATATATATATATATCGTGCAGGTGACCCAGTTGTTGCCCAGTTATTTGTACCACCAATTTCTGTTGTTATTTTTTTTGAGGGGGAGGGGGTGTTTCAACGACCAAGTTTATTTGATAGCCTTCTGTAGGTCGTAGTTCAACACCAAGAGTTGGAAAGAGTTTTGTATATGCTTGTATTTGTTTTTGTATTAGATTACTGTAGTCTCTATGTAGCTACAGTATGTTAGGTGCCTTTCATCCGCTAACCTCTGTAGCTCCACTCATTAACTCTTAATACATAAAGATTATTATTTTTTTTTTAAATACAGGGTTATTTTTACTGTAGTGTTTATTTAGCATTATAAATCACATCTGTAGTAGTAGTCGTCGTGAAAAATAACAATTAAAAATATTCATAACACTTATTATGTAAATACTGTAATTTACAGCTAAAACATATTTTCCTAACCCCCGTTATTAAGAATTTTTAAACCTAATATTTTGGTATAAAGTTTTAATGAACAGGTTGGGTTACGGTCGTAGACATATATAATATTTCCAAGCTTTATCCACTGATTTTCCTGCTCTAAGTCTCACACAACCTAACCTAACCCAACCTAACCTAACCTAACCTATATAAACCCCTACTAGACCATCCTTCCTTCCTTCCTTCCCCACAGCCATAAGTCTCACACAAGTTCTGCAATCGAGTTAGTACGCTCGTCTTCCCCGACACTGCCACCAGAGGTATTGGCACACCCAGCCACCAACAGTAATGAATTGCTTTCGTCACACCTGTACTAAATACTAAAGGTGTTTCTATATCTTTTTCTTCATTATTATCAAGTGAAACGATTACTTAAATTACCTGATATATAACCATTAATAAATTACAGTTTATAATTGTATCATCATCTAAAGACGTTGTATAATTTTTGCATTTAATTATGGCTAAAAGTTCAGGTAATAAGATATGAAGGAAAAAATTAATTCTCCTCAATTAAGTCTTCAAGTTACTAATTTAAGGACCATGAATTTTATATCACTGTTGTATGATGTTGTTGACTGTAGTTGTATTGTGGGGGGTGTCCTTATAGACCTGAAAATTAGCTCCCCCCTACCCCAGCTTATTTCACCTGATAAAATACTCTAACGCTACCGAGGTGGGGGAGGGAGGGTTAGGTTAGGTTACGTTATTTTTGGTTATGTTAGGTTAGGTTTGGATCTGTTTTAGGTTAAATTAGGTTAGCATTAAGGTAGTTTTAATCTGAAGGGAAATAAGCTGGGATGCCTGATCTTCATGTGAAATAAGCTGGGGTTACTAAATCTTCAGAAGAAATAAGCTGGGATGCCTTATCTTCAGGTACAATAAGCTGGGGTGGCTAATCTTCATGTGAAATAAGCTGGGGTTACTAAATCTTCAGAAGAAATAAGCTGGGATACCTTTTCTTCAGGTACAATAAGCTGGGGTGCCTAATCTTCATGTGAAATAAGCTGGGGTTACTAAATCTTCAGAAGAAATAAGCTGGGATGCCTTATCTTCATGTACAATAAGCTGGGGTGGCTAATCTTAAGGTGCAATAAGCTTGAGTAGGGTTTGTGTTTTTCGACAACCAAAAAATTTCGTATCTCACACCAACACCACACAATTCTCTATAATATACAATGGATGAACCAATCTGCAATTAAGGTAATACTGTACTGTACTGGTAGACGATATAACACGTGGGAATTTCTGGATTTGAATAACTCGACTACTGCATTATGAGTGACCAAATATTCATGACTGGCCGAAATGTGGTTCATTTGGATATTGCGTATTACCTGTATATTGTGTATTACCTTTATATTGCGTATTACCTGTATATTGCGTATTAATCTGTATATTGCGTATCACCTGCACACTCAATAGTAAAAACAATCATGCGCCAATGCCCGTCCCACTAAAATGTGAGCAAGTTTGATGACTCCAACATACTAGACACAGGTTGCAGCGTGGATAAGGGTGAAAATTATATACCAGTAATCTCACAGCTTTCTCGGGTCTTCGCATTTCTTAATTCCAGGATGCCTTCATGTTCTTAGGAGAGAGTTTGTGTTTGAGGAGTCTTGAGCTTAAAAGTTTAATACTCGCTGACAGACTTACAGCTTTGTGTCAGCTTTGCAGCGTTACCAAAAAAAAAAAAAGTAAAATTGATGAAATATCCCCCTGTGATTATATATACTCCGTGTAAATAATTTGAACATCGTATTCAGATCTCCATTGACGAGTTACTCTGAAAAGTTTTAAGATATGAAGACAATTTCTAAAGATTTTTTAACATGAAAAGGATCAAAATGAGTAGAGCCATTCGTAAGTGTCGGATGAAAAGGTTTATATCAAATATTTATATATTTTTTTAGCGAAGATAATTACAAGAATATTTTTTTAATTAACCTCTTGCAACAATTTTTACACACCCTGTACTGAGCACACAGAGCGAGCCATTGTCTTTACACACCCTGTACTGAGCACATAGATCGAGTCATTGTGTTTTCATCCCCTGTAATGAGCACATAGAGCGAGCCATTGTCTTTACACACCCTGTACTGAGCACACAGAGCGAGCCATTGTCTTTACACACCTGTACTGAGCACACAGAGCGAGCCATTGTCTTTACACACCCTGTACTGAGCACACAGAGCGAGCCATTGTCTTTTACACCCCTGTGCTGAGCACACAGAGCGAGCCATTGTCTTTTACACACCCTGTACTGAGCACATA